CCCCCCCCCCCCCCGGCAATGTCTCCCGTGTGACCTCCTCCAGGAACAAAAATAACCCGGACTCCAGGGCATACATAATTTCCACCCATCCCCTCCCAAAAATGTCTCCCATGTACAATTACCTCCTCCAGGAGCAAAATAGCCCATATAACCCCTGGGCAATAGCAGTGCCCTCCATGCATTTACCACCTCCAGGGGGCAATAATTCACCCTCAAGCACAAGGCTCCCCTACTAGGGTAGTAATTGGGGCATGTTTAGCACCCCAGGGCATACATAATTTCCACCCATCCCCTCCCAAAAATGTCTCCCATGTACAATTACCTCCTCCAGGAGCAAAATAGCCCATATAACCCCTGGGCAATAGCAGTGCCCTCCATGCATTTACCACCTCCAGGGGGCAATAATTCACCCTCAAGCACAAGGCTCCCCTACTAGGGTAGTAATTGGGGCATGTTTAGCACCTCTAGGGGACGGTCATATGTCTTCCAGAGACCAACCACTGCTTAGACTTAAAGGACACATTTACAGATGTCAAGTATCAGAGGAGTAGCCGTGTTAGTCTGAATCTGCAAAAGCGGAGAGGAGTCCTAGTCTATAAGGTGCCACAGGACTCCTCGCCGCATTTACAGATGATTCGCTATACCCAGTACACTGAGGTGTCCCAGCATTGGAAACACCCTTGATGGCTTTCATTTGCACATTTCAAACCATAAACCATTTCCTATCCCCTATTTATAACGTTACATACAAGAATGATACATACACCAAAATAAGATCTACAGATCTAGCCGATGGTGACATTAAAATCGAGAGGTTACATGAGGTATTTTGTCCAAAGCATCTTGGAGTTCTGCATATTTGTATCCATAAGTCAATTTAATCAAGCATGAGGGAAGGGGCAAACCCTAACATGAGGCACAGTAAAGAGAGTGTAAGCCTAGTGCTCTCACTGATCTGAGAAAGTGGGTCTGGCCCACGAAAGCTGGTCACCTAATAAACCATCTTGTTAGTCTTTAAAGTGCTACATAGTTCTGTCTTTTGTTTCAGCTGATCCTATTATTGGCAGAGCTGCGTTGGTGCTAGAGCAAATGGGGAAGAGTTCAAGAAAAAACTCCGTGCATGCAGACAAGGCCCTCAGTGTGAGCAGTTCAAATTCTTTTAGCCTCAAAGGGACCCAGGGATGTACCCATCCTTAACTCACTCCCCTGTTG